TTCTTAATATTTTAGCCATAATGATCGGGTTTCTGAAATGCTCCATAACTTTACAAAGACCAAAAAAAGTCATAACATTGTTTGTTTTTTTCTGTTTTTCTTTTTTCTTTTTTAATCAGGATTTTCATTCCACAGTTTGCGTGCCCATTGTGTTCCCAAAATTGAAGGAAAATCTGCTTAGAAGTATGAAGTAACATCAACTGAAACTTCTGAATTTTACAACAGAAAGTTACGTGCTAATTTCCAATTGCATTTTTTATTGCACTAACAAAATTTCACTAAAATCCATTACGTAAAAAAAACATAGTCCCCATTATATCCATCCTGAATCTCCCCTCTTTTAGCGTAAAATCATCACCTCTTGCCCTATTGCAACAGACCCTGCTAAAACGTCTGTTCCCATCTTTCATGTGTTCTGGTACTCTTCAAAACCTTCAGAAGGTTTACATCATTTAGTATTACTCCCTCATTGCTACAAAAAGAGAACATCAGACTAGCAAACAGAATATGTCAAATGGTTATCGGCCCACTAGTCAGCTCTTGACCAGCATTTATGAGGCTATTTTTTAATCAGCATTTCTGGACACTGTTAGTTGCTGCACTATTAACAATTCCATCCAGGTTTGAGCCTTTGTCTTCTGGTGTTTCACAGCAAAGCAAGCAACTGTAGCTTTTATGTAAATTAGTCCATGTATTTGTGTGTTTGTGCTTCCTCATTTTTCATGAGGGATAGAAAGGAGATACTCTCTTTTCCAAGAGCTACTGTTAATATTACTAATGTAGCCTACACTAGTTAACTCACAGAGCAGAAGATTAATACTTAAAAATTCAAATAATTTAAAAAATACAAAATGGAAGAAAACAGAAAGCATGAACCAATATCATGGCTACACTAAGCAGAAGGAGGTGAATAGCAGGAGAAAATATATAGTCAGGATTTTCAGCATGAAGAAATGAACTTCACAATTAAATATACTTTGAAAATAATTCTTTTTTTTTAAATTAAAACAAAACCTCTCATATTAATATTGTCATGTTTTAAAATTTAAGTGGAAAACACATCTAATTTGATTCCAAGTAACCTAGAAAAGGAACTTTGAAGCTAAGTCCTAAATAAAACATAAAATCTTCACTTTGCAAGTGTGGATTTTACCTGAAAAATTGTTTTATAAGTGTCTTATAATAAAGTCAAAATGTCAAAATTCTCCTGCATCACAAAAAAAAAACAAAAAACAAAAAACAAACAACCCTGTCAAGAAAACTTTCCCACAGAAAAGGAAACTTTGGCCAGCTTCACTTGATGACAAGAGGTAAGGAAGTACCAGGGCGGTTCCACAGTTTGCAAAGTGTTAGGCACAAAGGCTCAGAAAAATATTTTTAATGGCAACATTTTTAATCTTACCCAGCCCTGTCTTTATCTCCCTTTTCATTTTAGTATAGCTTTCTTCCATGTCTCCCTTCTTACCTTTATTGTTCCCTACTTTCCCCATTTAGGAGGCACACACCAATGACCTCTGTAACAAAGTAGCTCTCCTTCACTGCCTGAAGTGGCTGTCTCGATGTAAGTGGAACTAATACATTCTGATACATTAAATAAGTAAATTATAGAATGTAGTGATGTTACATTAAATTGCATTAAAGAGAGGGAAAGATGCTTGAATAGCACTTTTCAGAAGGGCATGTTGAGCCTTGGTGAACCAGAAAAATAAAGTGTTTGAAAAATCCTGCCTGGAAAACTGTTCCTTTATCCTAAAGAAACCTTAATTCCCCACTAGAACAAAACAAAACAACATCCCATTCTACTGTATTTCAGATGCCCATGTTCAAACCTGGGACTGCCTAGAAATGTGCAGTTTTATTCTCTTGTGTGAAAGGGAACCAAACGTTCACACAAAAAAAATCCCTCTCTGGCAAAGCTGAAGAACTTGATGTATATGACATTTGGTGCTAATATTCATCCAGCACTCACATAGAGACAGAGTTAGCAACATCCCTGCTTGTTTGAAATCAAGGACCGACTTAAAAAAAAATAATTATCACTAATGGTATTTAACTTACAATTCTAAAAACCCAATGGCTTTCGACTCTGTCCTGTGGTTTGACCTCACCCCTCAGGCCTCTGATGTAATGTTTCCCAGCCACAGAGCAAAGCACTGCACTTTCACCTTACCGGAGATGCAAGGAAAGATAGATGGCCTTAGAAGACCAAATTGGTACGCTGCAAGGCAATACTCCCATCAGCTACCACTCTCCAAAGGAGACACTAACTCCAAATTTGCTTCACCACCTGGGCTCAGCTGGAAACTTACTATAACTAAAAGTTTGCCTTGCTACAGAACATAAAGTTACTCCTCCTGAGAAATAAGCAATATATTATTCTGACAGATATGGTGAGCTTGCATGTAGTATACAAAACTCATTCATCTTCCCACTGTCTTGTGATGTCTTATAACTTCCATCACAGTTTATGATTTTTTGTGTTCAGCCAACTGAGCTGGAAACACGAGGTTTCTGGGGAAAAAACTGCACTGCAGCCAGAGATGCACCTCCACGAATGCTCAGCAGAGCCTTTTTGGAAAAGATGTTGTCAGACCACGAAGTCCTCCCCCTCATGTGATTATATCCAAATCATCTAACCATCTCATATGCTGGGACTCAAGCTGAAGAGTCCATATTTATTGAGAACCAGGTTTTCTTTGGGTTTACTTCTGGTAAACAATCATTTTATTTCCACCACGCCCCAAGAACTTCAAGCAAAATCATGATGTTCTGATTACAGGATTTGCAAGACCCAAATTCAAATTGCAGCATCTGTTCATCCTTGGGGGGGGGGGGGGGGAGGGGGAAGAAAAGAAAAAGAATCCCCCCTACCAACAGTTATTTCTAAATCTTATAAAGGCTTGGTGATGAGCAATAATTACTGCAATACTGAAAGACACTGAAATCAGCAGAAGCGAGAGCCACAAAAAGTATACACATGAAGCCACACAAAACACTCTAGAAACAGATCTGTGGGAGAAGCAACTTACAAGCAATGAAAATATTTCCATAACACGGCAAGCAAGCCTCCCAGGTAAGTCCTTCTCAAGATCTTTCCATCTCAAAATCCTTTGGTTCATCAGCTGCAGTATCCCAAGCTTGTCAGGTATCAATGCTTGCTTTTCCATAAATGCAAAACCCGATCATTTTTAGTTTGATTTTTACATGCCAGGATGAAAGCTGGGCTCTTCAAATCTGGGGTAGCTGAGCCTGTTCCTCTCAAGTCTGGGAAAATGCATTTTCCCTCACAATACTGCCATTGTAAACACCATCCTCTAAAACCCTCCCATTATGGCCCTCATAATCATGATCTTCTGAATCTGAAGTACTTATCAGAAACCTTTTTCACAGGTTAACACAATACATCAGCATTCTCAATTACCATATTCAAGTGGTATTTTAACAACAATATTACTGGATGATCTTGGTTTATGAGAATAATTCACCTCTCTTCCCCTTTATTTTTGAAGACTTGTGAAGACGAGAAACAACTTGAAGGAACAGTAATACACTACAAGTAAGATATAAACAACACACCTAATGAATACTCCAAACTTCTGCATGTGGAAGCAACCAAAAAAAGGCATTAAACCACAGAGTTCTTGCAGTTATGATTCAAGACAACACTTATGTCACCACAGAAATGAAATCTAGCCTAGGGTTTTCTGGATTGGATCAAATGGCTACTTCAGAAGCCACTTAGGCAACCAAACTGCTTATAGAATAAACTGTACTGTCCTCCCAGAATGATTTTGATTTCATTTGAATCATTTCTACAATACCTCACAGGAAAAGAATGTGCAGCACTCATTATTCACAAGCCTAATACCCTCAGCTTTTCTGGGACAAAAGCAACTAACACTTTCTACATTCATTTGATGTGGAAATACACATTCTCAGCTTGTGCAATGATATATGGCAAGTTAACCCAATCTTACAACCTCCAGCTTAGTTGATTACACTTATTCTCTAATGAGAAGTTGACCAGCAAAAACAGACGGGTTTTTATGTTCTAATGGATCGAACCAACAATAAAAGTATCCAGCAATGCTTTGCATTCTACTCATATTAAGACATTGGGTAACTTTCCCTAATGTTAAGACTGCATGTTTACCATAAAGCGAGATCCTCCGTTTGTTACAGAAATCATGTATGTCCCTGTTCACCTTGGGTCTTTTAAGATGGGACCAGTAGTTCTCATGAAAAGACTAAATGGCCTAGATATCCTAGTGACATGAATAGACAAAAAGGCTTTCGGAAGTGGTGGGGGGAGAAATACAAAAATTCTTTGCATTATTTTTGCACAAAAAGGTTTCTGATGCTAAATGGTTACAAAATTTCTCCTACAGCCTCTAGCCAGCAAGTTTGCCAAACGGCACACTGGAAATCTAAATTTCCTGTGAAAATGGTTATATGTATCTCCTCCCTCTCCCCCATCAATGTGATTTATAGCCAAAACACTGGCAATTCCCTCAAATGAAGCCTGAAGTGAGATTGTTGCATCATCAGAGTTATTTTAATGCAACCTAAGCTTTGCTGTGGGTGGGGAGAAGCACATTCTAAAAATACTTCAGTTACACAGAACATTTCCTAATCTGACCATTTCCTAATAAAGAGACACCTGAAGTGGCTTCTGAACATAAACAAGAGGGTGGTCTTTAAAGAGAGACAAGTAACGCTAGTTAGGCTTGTGCACAGGAGCCATCAGTGCTTCATACATCTGGGGATGATGCAGCTTCACGCAGCAACAAGGTAATTAAAGTTACAGACCCAAATCACAGAATCTGCAGTCTAAGACAACATATTAATGATACAGTTTTAAACAAAAATGGAAATGAAGCTAAAACTTTGAAAACTTAGTAGGCTTTTGTAACAAGACCATATAAGAACAGTAAGCGAGAGAGCGCTCATTAAAATGATGGTGCCATACCCCAGATATTATATTTGATGCTATTACTTACCAAGCCAGCTATTGGAGTTGACAGGCGATTGATCTTCTTAACAATGCCAGGTTTGATCTTGTTAATCAAACTAAAAAAAGAAGTCATATGATTTTCTGTCAAATAAATCAACTTTATTTGAGCATGAGCATAAAATGCTTATTAAGAAATACTTTGCATATAGTCGTAAGTTACATGATTTGAACCAAATAAATCTGAACCTATTAATACCCCCTAGTTATGGGTTTGTGTTTGTTGTTTTGTTTTTTTTTTTAAATCAGTTTTCCAAAAAGTGACAAGGAACAGCAGACTGCAGAAGCAAAAATGGGATATGCCACATACACACAAAAACCCCAGAGTGGCAAAGTGAGACAGAAAAGAAAATGCCTGGGTAGGTGTAGGCAGAAATGGATCTGTGTTTCTACTGCATGGGTGGTGATGTTAATGAGACTCATATTTCCCATTTAAACATTTACTTCACATAAAAGTTCTGATGCAGATGATGTCAAAAATACATCAGAATACTAATTTTCAGAGCTCAGTGTGAAAGCACTGATATTCATGTACATATAAGAAATCAATTCAGTTTTCATAATGCTACCAAGCCCAGTCTGTGTGCAACAATCATTTTGGGCATATACAATTTACACATGCAAGTCACTTTCAGTCTCAGCCAGAAAAGGTTGTGCCTCATATCATTCTTACTTTATATAAAATCCATACCTAATCTGAGAAGAGAGGACAGACTCACTTTTGAATACATAAGTCCAAATGCACACCTTGTCCTGAGATGAGGATGAGGCACAGGATTTGTTGCACCTTTATACCCAGGTTTTCAGTCATGCAGGTAGGGAAATACTGTGGTTCCTCAAATTACATGTTAGGCCAGAGCATCAGCAGAGAACAGGGACCTCAGGACACCCTGGAGACTTTGTCTTCCTGCATACCTTTAAGGATTTTAGACTTGCTCGCTCTTCTTGTTGCTGCTCGTCTGGCTAGATCCTTTAGCCCACAAAGGTTCAGTAAGGTTTTGTGATCTGCCCACATCAATGCAGACCCAGGACCTAACGTGTGTAACTTTACATGGGAAAAACCATTTTTTGCTCAAGCAGCAAATGTATTTGGAAAGTAAACACAAAGAACAGAGTTTACCTAGATACACTGGAATGGAGGATAGAAATATCTGCAAAAGAAGAATAATGGCTACAGGTCCTGAGATTTTTCAACTTCATTGACTGAGTTACTTAGTAAGCACAATATATTTAATGATTTATTAAAAAAAAGAGTGATCTGTTCAGGTGAAATTAAAACAAAAAATTATGTGGGAGGGTGTCGTCCCCCCTCCCTTTTTTTAATCTTCAAAATGCATATTTGCTGTTTAAATAAAATATACCACCTCCAGAGATAATATAGCCATGGACACTAAATTAGTCATATCACAGGTGAACCAAGGAAAAATGGACAATGTCATGTCTAGTTGCCGCAATGATGTTGTACTCTATTGCCTTTGGTGAAAATTGGACATCTGAAAATCTTTCCCATCTTCTTCTTTTCTGTTTCCCCAGAATTTCTATGAAAATCACTTCTCCTTGTACTTCAGGTACATAAAATTTAAAATTATGACACAGGAGGACAGCTATATGATTTAGTGCAACATAATGAGGCACCATTTCTTTAAAGAAAGTTGTGTGTCTCCTAAGGCAAGCTGCTCAGCTGAAGGAATTACAGGATGTTTTTCTTGCATATGGCTATTAATTACAGATAAATTTAACTGATTTGCATTTGGCAGATGGAGGCTTTTATTCCTTTGCCAAATAAGTGTCAACAATGAAGTTATCAGGGGATTAGAATGTATCAGTCCATTGACAGTTCTTAAAGACACTGTTTAAAAGTTACAGCTGAATACAATACACACGTCCCACTAAATACATACCTGAAGAAATACATTTTTATTAAAAGTATAAGTTACTTTTATTACCACATCCAGTCTAGTTAACATTTCATTACACAAGTAATGGAAATACAGCATCCATTTCTGCAACATCATCTAAAATTATCATTGTGATATAGGGACTTGAGTAACTAGGAAAGGCAACTAGCAAGACAGACTAGGTGGAAAAAGGGCCCAAAGCAAAAAAAAAAAAAGTCAAGGACAGGAAAACACAATTATATTCACAGTAGGGAAAATGCACTAATGTTGCCCTTTTGCATTTGCTTCAGTTATTTTAATAGTAAAAAAAGAAAAGTCTGAATTTTTTTTTTTTAAGAGCTGCTCTGAGATTTGAGATTTTTTTTAAATGACCCAGGTAGTTCTCTAACAAGATTTCTCTCACACTAGTGTTCTAAAGGACATTTACAACTGCCATTCCTTAAAATACTAAGGGATTAGCACCACTTTCAGTCCTGGAAACCAGTTCCAGTAAGTACAAAACCAGTTACAAATATATGGAAGAGACCTGGCAAGTGGACATACTACACCTCTGACTCAATCTAGCAACGAAACCAGACAAGTCCCATTACTGCCAAGCCTATAATGTATAAGCTCAAGGAAGCATTTCAGAGAAAGCACTCAAAAAACAGATGAAGTCAGAGTTTGTTGCTGAAAGCAATGGGTAAGTCAGTCCAGAAAGCACTGAAACCTGGACTGCATGTTCACACACGTGACAATATATTTCTATGTTATGCTGAGACCCAGTCCCTTTACTTTTATCATCCTAGAGTGTTCGGTTTGTTTTTTGCATTGGTTTTGAAGTATGCTTTTATAAAGTATGCCAAATGTCATTTAATAGATTCTACATTATTGAGATACTTGGATGGAACCATAAGAGCAATATTATTAAGTAACAAACATATGCCTGATTGTTATCTTAAACTTACAGTTTTGTAAGGTTCAAATCAGAAATGTAAAGAAAAAAAAGAATTTCTTTAAGCGTAAAAAGACCTCTGGTAGGAATATATAGTTTTCAGAATTTTAGATCCAGAACACAAGTGTTTACAACTTTTTATTTCAAGGGAGTGGAGATTGAGGAGAAAAACCTAAACCAAAACAACACCAGTGGGTATGTAGAGGTGAGTGCTTTGATCCCAGCCATAGCCACACCACCTTGCACAAGACGATCATAAAGCCCAGTGATACAATGAGAATTATGACCAATAAAACCAATCAACTGGACAGGGGATCAGCACAATCCTCACAGTAACACATAAAGCAGTGTGTGGGACAACACATGGAACATGTGTATCTAGAAAGAGAACATGTGAAAGTTGTTCTTCCTTCCCAGGGTAAACAACAGGTATTAAAAGAAAAAAATAAATTACTTATTACAAAATACTTTGGGTACTTCGTCTGAGGCCAGGATTGAAAGCTGACAACTCATGTTAGCCTGAAGGATTTTTATATAGGTAAGTCAATACTCACTCGCACAGCAGGACTCCATTTTCCAGAGCTGCTCGAAAGTCTTTGGTTCCAAAGCTTTTCCCAGTAACTGTCTATAAAAATAAGAATTGAGAGTTAACTGGACATGCACACAAGATCAGGAGTAGCCAGAGAATCTAAGTACTGAAAACAAACAAACAAAAAAACAAAAAACAAACCAACAAAACTTTTCAATTCAACACTTAGTTCATACTGTTATTTTCTCATACTAATTTCAAAAGAAAGAAGTATTCAAAACATAGTTCTTTATGCCTCAAAAAAAGTCAGATCAAACATCTTCAAGTAGTTTCCCCCTGTGTAAATCAATCTTCAGCTACATGCTGTGGAAATACTTGTCATTTCCTAAAGCAATAGAAGCCAAACTGAAAAACATAAAATAAATTTGAAGCATAAGTGAAAAAGAGAGAAGAGTCTTTTATCTCCTACTTCATGTTACAGCACGTATACGCATATCCAGCACAAAAGTATTTTAATAGGGTTGTTTGGGTTTTTTTTTTTTGGTTTGGCTTGGTTTGGGTTTTATTCCTGCCACTTGCACCTAAGGCAATGTGACTAAGAAACCACACCAGCAAGTCTGTATTACCACGTGCACACCAATTCCCATTACTTGGCAAGCGCTAGGACTACGCTAATGGGACTACTTTTTATATTCAAAGTGAAAAGCAGTGAACAAGAATAATGTCTTATAAAAGACATGGTACCCAATGTCAAAAGCGTTGCCTACATGTATTCAGCAAAGTCGTTCTCCAACAAGAAAAAAAATTTTGCTCATGGCATTAACTCCATCTCAAACGAGACCACCAACACAGCACCCCGCACACGTCTAAACTCACTTGGATTCTTCCTACTACGTTACCCATGTCCCTTGAAGGGACCAAATTTGGCAGTTTTATTCTAAACACCCACATTACTAACCCACAGACAAGTTAGAAAAAGGGCCAATATTCCTAAAACAGTCCAAAAGAGGGGTTTATCCCAGTTGGGTATAGAAACCAAACACTAGGAAGAGCATTTATTCAAACTTAGAGGTCATTGGGTTCAGTCACCAACTAATTACAAACCTCTCTTTGGGGATCTTAACCATCCCTGACACTGCACAGGACTACAGGCACACAATTTAAGGTGCTGTGGAACCTGCATGCATCCAGACCAAAGCTACTGATTACCACAGTAATTAAAGAAATTAGTAGCGAAACAAATGAACTGTGCCTGGTAAAAGAGCAAAAGGAGAGGATGTAGCTCTTTAAGGAGCTATTACATTACCATCCTGTTATTCTTTTCAAATTGCAAAAGGCATGTATACTAACAGTAGAAATACTGTAACTTCATAGTTTTAAGGTAGGTTATCTTTTAATTCAAAAGCTGTAACTGCCATCTCCCTATTGAGGACAAAATTAGATGTTACAAAAATCTTCTGTTGGGTTTAAGGTTTGGGCTTTTTTTTTTTTCTAGGATTTAACAAACAGAGAAAAAAAGGATAGCACACCAACTCAAGGTGAGAAAAAAAAATAAATCAAAATTCGGGGAGAGAAAAGAAAACAAATCACCGTTAAACAACAACAAAGGCTGATACCGATCCCCCTGGGAGAACTGTGTTTTATACAATATTCCTGTAACAACACTCTAACAGAAGAGTAGATGTTGCATCTCAGCAATATGATTTTCAAGAATCCCTTAAAAATACAGCATCTGAAAATTACCCTCATTTCAAAATATGGCCTTTTGCTTTTAAATTCATATATTCAGTGATAGTCATTTTGAGGAAACTAGTCAATGTAACATAACAGCTCTGAAAGTTTTAACATAAATATTTGTGTTTCCTAGGTAATAGGGGATATGGGTTATAAATTAAACCCTTCATTCTACAAGCTAAAAGCTTGAAGTCTGCATGTCATACAGCAGAATTGTACTGTAATAGAAGCTGTAGGACTGGGGTCTAGTTTTATGGCAACATTTCAAACCCCAATCAATTCTGAGAGTCCAAAAGTCATTCTCATTCTGGAGTTGGTGCTGATACCTGCAGGACTACACAGTCCAAGCGTTTAGGTTTATATAGACAGTTTACTTGTAAGTCATGCATTCAACAGATAGCAAGATGTTTCCTGTACCTACAGAGTTGGGCCCATCCTCCCCCCCCAAAAAAAGCCTAGAACTGCAGCATGTAGCTAAGGAGGTCACTCCTCAGAAATTATTCTCAAGAAGAAGCATGTGCCTGTGTGGAACCTTTTTGACTGCTACAAAGTCTTTCAGCACATGACCTCAAGTAACTACAAGCCATCCTTGAACCACAAGAGAACCCAACTGGACTATAAGGTTGTAAATGCTACTATTACATTTGCAGACCTTTTAAAATAAAATTAGAGGACATCACACTGGAAGCATTTGGACTAAGTTATTTGGGCAGCCACTGTGGCAATCCACACTGATTGGATACAAAGGATGGAGCTGGCAAACCAATCTTGTGACCCACAGATTTTGGTGACTATGTGGTTTGTTGACACTAAAATAAAAGCATTGGTACTGCCAAGTCAGGTTTCATTAATATTGACTTTTAAAGGATAACTAATAATTAAGTAGTTAAGAAGTATTCTCAAGGAACAATTTAACACTGGTTGCTTGAAACTGAAACACTACCCAAGTTGCACAACACCTTGAATTTCTTGAGGTCATAAAAGTAAGCACTCAATTTTAAAACCTCCTTTTGTACAGAGAGGGAGGACTTCTTTCAGCATGCACTTTCATCCAGCTCATACTCACTGTGAGGCATCAAGCTCAGCTCTAACTATTACAGCCTGCATAAGATCTAGGTATCAAAAAAAAAACATCAAAATGGGAAGCCATAGACTGGCTCAGAGTTCCCTGACTTTTAAGAACCTGACTAAGACAAAGTAAATCCCAACCAGAGATATTACATCTTCAAACAATGTCTACTATTTGTGAGTCACTGTTTATTCATTGAAACTGGTTATACTGGGTGTGGTACTCTTATGTAAAAGGCATACTTGATTTTGGACAATTTTTCAAACCACTTAGGCTATGTGCCAAATAATAAAGGAATTAGCTTGAAAAATCAGGTTTTATTCATGTATGAACAACATCTCATTTCAAACTATGTCTCTTTCCTCTCCTTCATTCAGCTGAAAGTATTTTGCTTGTTTTTTGATAGAGAGCTATGACATAATTAAAGGCTATATCACAAATTGCTGCTATAAACCACTTTGATTTTATTTTTGTAAGACAGCGTCCCCTAATACTTTGGTAACTTGCAATTGCGAGGTCCAAGCAATTTACTTCAAACAATATTCAAATCCAGTCTTCACTTAAATTTAGACATTTAAAAAAATGCTTACAGAGGGCTAGTTTAATTTCAGGTTTGCTGTGATTCCTGTAGAAAGAGGCAAATCAAAAAGAAATAACCAAAGATCAACCACTCTGAGGATGGCATGACATCAAAATAAAGGACTGAACTAAAAGCACATGGCGCAGAAGAACACACTGATTATATGCCTCAGTACCAAAATTAACACTGAGTACATTTCTTTGACTTGTCCTACTAGAGGCCAAATACAACTAACCATAATAGGCCTTCTTTGCCTTAAAAGCTAGTCACAGCTGAAAGATTTTTCAGTGTTAATAAAAAATACTAAGGGAGTTTACATCAAGTTGCTTCCATGGTCCACATGTGTTTGAACGGCTTTAGCAGAAAAGCAACACTACTACAGGACAGTAGGTTCTTCAAGTGGGTTTCCTATAAATACCAGAACATGCAACTCAAACTGCAAGGGACTGGCAGGTCTCTCAGTTTTATTTTGCTGTGGTAAAAATACCTAAACTAGACTCTCCCCATCCAATGCAAGACTCACACCATATATACAGGCACACTGGTTAACTTATTCTCCACCACAAAAGCATTAGCTGCTCAGAAACAAGGAGGCAACACTGCATCATGACCAGCCTGTGACCCGAACAATGTCTTGCTGCAGAGGAGCCAGGTACTTGCCATCCAGCTGGCTCTACAGTTCATGCTGGCCAGCACTGCTCTCTCCATCTCATTCAGAGCTCCTCTGCCACAGCTCCACATAGGCTACACCATCTCAAACCATGCAAGAACCCCACACACAAATTTGAGAGAAAGACCAGCTGTACCAGCGTGAAGGCTGCAGCTTCCTGATTTAAGGCCATAGGTTTGGGCTGGAATATTCAAGAAACCACACATGACATCAACAGGCTTAATGCAGGCTCATGCAAGGATCACACAGGGCAAGCAATTAGACAGCAACCTCAAGGATACTACACTAATTCATGAACTTCGGGTCCCCAGCTCAGCCTACAGCTTGAAAAGCCAAGTTTATCATGCTGCAGAGGGCTTCTCAGGTGCTGTAAGAAACTGGGACAACGATATGAAACTAACACTACAGTACCATTCCCACTACAGAATTTTGACTATGCCTGCCAGTTTGTGTCACAGTGCCTGCCTCAGCAGATCTCCTCATGTACACACTAATGTCTGAACGGCTACATTGCTAATGGCCTTCCTTTTTTGCACCAATTACCCAAAATCTGAATCAGACTACATTGCAAATGGCTCCATCTTTACACAATTCCAGCATTATATATCTCCATTCCTAGCACTTGTTTGGCTTTAACTGCCCTCATCCAATATATCACTCCCCAACAGTACTGTTACTGTAAGACGCACCAGGAGATATATTGGCTACAGGCACTGCAAACGTGAAAGTGTTCAAAAAACCCCAATGCTCTGGTATCTGTACAGTTGGCAAGGCCTGGAAGCAGATTCATTTTCATAAGGTATTTAGAGTCCACTGCATTTTATATACAACTGTCAGTACATACTCTACCTCAGCTTGAGAGATTTTATCATTTAGAGTCTGTCACAACAGAAGACCAAACACCAAAGCAGAAGGGATTTTTCCTCTCTCCTGAGTTGCTGCAGAAACTGGTGGTTCTTCTGCACTGTGACAATGAGGAGCTGCTTTGTGGGACATTTCAGACACACTACCCAAAGTCCTGCCTCCCTGTTTCATGGCTATTT